CCCGTTGTCGGTGTACAGGAAATCATTTTTGACGGCGCCGGGCCGAACCTGTGCACCATGCGTGGTCTTCAGTCGGACCTGACCACCTTCCTGACTGGTGGTCGGAACAACGACCTGAAGCTCTGGCATTTGACCCCCTCCGGGGAGGTGGTCTCCAAGTGGGCTGCCAAGAACGTGCGCCCGGACAAGTTCGACCTGCACGTGCCGATCTTTGTGCGCGACGCGCGCTTCCTCGACGAGTCCGGCCACAAGATCGCCACCATCACTGGCCACTCGCAGGTCCGGGTGTATGATACCCGTGTTCAGCGGCGCCCGGTGCAGGACATCACCCTTGGCGAGCTGCCGCTCACTTCGTTCGATGTGACGCCCGATGGCTCGTGCGTGGCACCTGATCGCCATTTTGCCCCTCTCCCCCGAGGGCGCGCCCTCGTTCCACTAGCCCCCCCCCCCCAACACTGACCCTTTGCTTCATGCGTCTGCTCCGGGCTGCTTCTCGTGCGTGCACGCATTTGCGCATGCAGCCATGCGTTCATCGGCAACTCCATCGGAATTGTCACCAAGCTGGATATGCGCAAAATGGTCCCCTGTGGTACCCTGAAGGGTGAGTTGCTTCCTCCCTCTCCCCCCCCCCTCTCTCTCTTTCTCTCTCGATCCATCTCCCTCTCCCTCTCCATCTTCATCTCTTTATGTGTGTCCGGCTCAATTCACTGACCCCCTGGCGCACAGGCTTTGCCGGCTCCGTCCGGTCCATTGAGTGCCACCGTTCGTTGCCGTACGTGGCGTGCGCCGGCCTGGACCGCTTTGTGCATGTGCACAACACCGACACCCGGAAGGAGGTGATCAAGGTGTACGCCATGCAGCGGTCCACCAGCGTGGCCTTCTCCAAGGAGCGCGTGGTGGCCATCAAGAAGAAGGCCGGCGCGAAGGCCGGCGCAAAGGCCGCCGTCGCTGCTGATGACAGTGACAATGAGGAGGAGTTCCTCGGGAGCGATGAGGACGAGGAGCCGGAGCAGCTTGCCTCTGCCGAGAAGGCCGGCACGTCGACCAAGCGCACGCGGAAGCCCGCCGCCGAGGTCGACGAGCAGGACGAGGACGAGGAGGCCGACGATGTGTGGAAGGCCATCCCCAAGAAGCTGAAGAAGACCCGCGCGGCTGCCTCCACGTAGACATCGAGCCACCACCATGGGCTCCTTGTGCTTTTGGGGAGCGGCCATGGGGCCGTCATCTTCCTCGCTTCTCTCCTCCGGCCGTCGGGGCCCCTTCCCTCCCTTTCTCTCTCTCTCTCTCTCTCTCTCTCTCTTGCTCGTTTGTGTGATGTCAGAGAGTCTGCTCTTCCATGCATATGCGTTTGTACCCCCCCCCCCCCTCCCCCTCTCATTTGCTGGCTGGAAGAAAAACCCAATAGAACCAACAAAGTTTCGCCGCGCCTTCATTTCCCTCGCCATCTGGGTGGTGATGGCGGCAGAGCAGAGTGCGTGAGGCTTGATCATGGGGTGTCCCCAGGGGAAAAGGATTCCGAGGAAGGAGCTTGGTTCTCCTTCCCTCGCCGCGGCTCCGGAGAGAGAGAGCATGCAGTATGCGTGTCCTTTTTTTTTTTTTCCAGGCGGGCCTTCTTGCTCTGTCCCAGCGTCGTGTGAGCCTTTTTTTTTCTTGGTCCCCCATTTCTTCCAGCCTGCCGAGATAAATGCGTGAGGAGGGTGCCACTCGGGCCCGCCTTCCTCGTAGCGTGCACCGCACCGCACCGCACCGCACCGCACCGCACCGCACCGCACCGCACCGCATCGCACCACACCGCACCACACCGCACAGCATCGCAGCAGGAGGGGAAACAGCACGCTCGGGCATGCATCCTCCTCCCCCCCCAGGCGGGGGCGGCGTCTCCCAGCGGATTGCGGCAAAAAGGGGCAAAAGAAGATTGGGGTTGAGATGCGCTCCCGCACGGGATCGAACCGCGGACCTTGGGATTAACAGTCCCACGCTCTACCTACTGAGCCACAGGAGCCAGCACATACCGAGAGGTCCCGTGCCCGGCTGCACATACCTGTGTGTACCGAATATCTCTTAACATGCATTTTTGCCCCACGCAGTGGCCCCCACACCCGGGGCCCCACCCTCGGGCGGGGCGCGGGCAAGGGGGAGCATGCATTCCGTCAGTGACAACGGTCGTGCCCCCCGGGGCGCGGCGAGCTGGGCCGGGCCAGGCCGGGGGGGGGGGGGGGGGGGGGGGGGGGGGGGGCGGAGGGGTGAGGGGGCGAAAGGGGCGCCCGGGCCGGGGGACAGGCCACAAGGGGCAGGGACAGGCAACAGGGAAAGACGGCCTCCGGGGCGGGAGGGGGTCTCTGTGTAAACAGCATTGCGGAAGAAGGGCAGCCGTGGCGGGCTCCCCACCTCCTCGGCGGTGTCGACACCCCTCTCCCGGCTCCCCTCCGCCCTGCCTGCCTTTCTCTCTCTCTCTCTCTCCCTCTCCCCCCCCTCCCGTCCGTCTTTGCTTTTACTCCCCCCGTTGGCCGCCCCCGGCGGCTCTCCAGACTCTTAGCCATGGCCTTCGCGCGCTCTGTCCGCACCATGCAACTGATGCACGTCTACCAGCGCCAAATGCTGGTGGTCACTCCGCGAGTGACACTGACGCAAAGCTCCAACGAGCTGTTCTACCCCTCGGCCGAGGGGTTCGATACGTCGGCCGCACTCGCGCCGATCGAGCAGGACCGGCAGCACTCGCGCGCGGCCGCCGCTGCCGCCTCCCTGGCCCGGCCTGGGGGATATTATGCGTCGTCCATCTCGACGGCCGAGCCGGCCGATAGCATCGCCCGTATTATCACATCCTTCTCGCTGTCTCCCGAGAGTGCCGAGGCGCCGGCTGCCGGGCCGGCCCCGGCCACGGCCTCTCCCGCCGCTGAGCCGGCCTGGTCTGCCGTTCCGGCCACGGGCCCCATGCGTGTCCCGTCGGCGACTGATCTGAATGCCGCCGCCATGTCGGCCGTGGTGTCTTCCTCATCGTCGGGGTCCTTGCCGGATCTGGCCGCCCGTGCGCCGGTGCACCAGGCCGCGGTGGCCGTCGTGGATTCCACCCTGCGTTTGTTGAACACCCTCTCGACCTCGGTGGCTCGGACTGTGCAGGGTGGTGCGTCTCTCTTTCTCTCTCTCTCTCTCTCTCTCTCTCTCTCTTTCTCTTTCTCTCTCTCTTTCTCTTTCTCTCTCTCTTTCCCTCTCTCCTCCCCTCTCTCTCCTTCCCTATCTCCTTCCCTCTCTCTCTCCCTCTCCCTCTCTCTCTCCCTCTCCCTCTCTCTCTCTCTCTCCCTCTCTCCATTTGCATGCTCTACCTTCCTACACTTGCTGACCGCCCACTTCCTCATCACCCTTCTCCTGCCCACAGTCGTCCAGGTCTTGGCCGGCTCACACAATGAGGCGGATTCGCACTCCACCAGCACTGCCCCACGCTCGCCGACGACCGGAGCCGAGTTCGTCGCTGGAGCCGCCCCGGCCGCCTCCCGCAATGTCCCTGCCAGCGAGCCATCCTCCGGTCCGGATATGGCATTGATTGCCCCGCTGGTGGGCCTCGGCCTGGTGGCTGCCCTCGGGCTGTATCTCTGCCCGTCAACTGCTGGCGGCCGGCGGCTGCCCCTGCTGGTGCACGCGCTTGTCCGAAACCATTTCCCCTCTTTTGGGCTGTCCTCCAGCGGCGGCCTTGGGCGTCTCCTTAGCAGCATTGGGAGGGGCTTGTGCCCGCGCGGTGCTACCGCCGCCTAGCCTGGCTTCTTGTCTGGTGTTGGAACTTGTGCCCTGCGAGTGCATCGCGCGCGCGCGCGCACACATACACACCACCCCGACTGGCCGGCTGGTTGGCAGGCGGGCACGCACACCAGCTGGCCTCTTGCACAACGGACCTCCCCCCTCCCCCAAACAAAATCCAATAATAATCTACACACATATCTCCCTTTCTCTCGGGCGCAGACGGGGAGGACTGCCTCGCTCGCTCTCGCTCTCTCTCTCTCTCTCTCTCTCTCTGTCTCTGTCTCTCTCCCCGTCTTGTCCCCCCGCTGCCAGGCCGGCCGCTGATTTAAGATCGCAGCTTGCTGCCGGGTGCTTGGTGCTGGTCGAGGCGTGGGATGGATCATCAGCAGGCCCAGGTGGGGGAGCGCGTGGCGAATCGCGGGTGTGCTGGGGCCACTTGCGCACACCAGCGCCCAGGTGCTGGTAGTGCAGCATACACGCCTGTAAAGGGTGCTCCATGGAGGCCTGACGTCGGGTGCCTCCCTTTCTCCGTCTCTCGCTCCCTCTCTCTCTCTCTCTCTCTCTCTCTCTCGGCTGGCTTTGGGCCTCGGGGTAGGGCGGGATGATGGGGCGCGGGGCAGCATTTGCCCGCAGGCGTGCATGCTGA